TTTTTTTTTTTTTTTTTTTTTTTTTTTTTTTTTTTTTTTTTTTTTTTTTTTTTTTTTTTTTTTTTTTTTTTTTTTTTTTTTTTTTTTTTTTTTTTGAACTGGAAGAGTTAAAAAAAAAAAAAGTCCAAATCAGAGCACAGAGCAGCTAAGGACGGCTCAAACTTGATATTTTGCAATTCACGGACTTCAGAAAATTCCCCTTAATTAGTAACACATGGTGCAAGCGTGCAGTGGTGCCAACCACCTTCGCAGCGCCTTGTCCACCCCGTCATCGGTTGTGATGCTTTGCCTATTTACCAGCTTGCTTGCTCAACTCTGCCTTCAAGGGCAGCGTGCACAAAAGGGCTTTTTAAAACTTTGTTAGTGGTTATGCACCCCGTGCAAATGAATGGCCAGCTAGCCCAAGAGCGCTCGGCGGCTGCGGCTCGAGTAAACGCTGGCCTGAAGAAGAGTCAGTCGGACCCACAAAGTGCAGAGCAGGAATGGTTGTAGGAACAGAGGCCAAAATTAGGATGTGCTAAAAAACGGAGGGTGAAGCCATGCGAGGTGCTACCAACATCCTTGCACTTGCCATTATTGCCACGCAGCTCTCCATTGAACAGAGCTTCACTTCTGAGTTTTATTTTTTTTTTAAGGTGGGTGCTAACAAAACACTTGCTGTCTATTAAAGAAATGAGGACTGGTTCTTACAGCTAATTCTCAGGTGTAATATAACCTTAAACTGAATAGGATATACCTTAACCCCCTTTGAAAGGTGTTTGAATAGTGGGGACTAATGCATCCGTTTTTCACGCTATCTAAAAAATCACCTTTTTTTGTTCTTTACTTTGAATCTAATGAGTGCAGAATGAAGCCATTTCAATAAGTCCATGGTTTCCTGGCAAAGGTTCTTCCTGTATAAAATCTTTTTTGGACCGTTAGAGAAATGTTTCCATTTTTTTTTCTCTCATTTGATCACCACAGAAAATAGACGATTTGGGTTTTACAGCACTTACAAAACAGTGGTCCTGTTCCTTAATGTCTGACGTTCGCATACAGAATATGTTCTTTTTCTTCTGAGCTGCGCTGCAGGGACCACGTGAAGGCTTGCATTGGTTACGCCAGTTGCCAGCCCCTGTCCCACGTGACTTTTCCACTCCTCACTGGGAATGATGAAAATGCGCGCAAAACATTTCGGCTCCAGAAGCTTGCACTATTGAAGCAGCAAAGAGTTATGTGTCGGGAAGACAGCTGAGCTGTTTGGAAACAGGCCTTTCCTTCGGTCCTTGAGAACTCTCCTCTCGGTAGAGGAATGGAGCAGAGTTTTTGAAGTTGTAGGGAAGTCACCCCAGGTTTGGAAGCCTACTGCACGGGCATGTTTTTTCTTTCAATAACCCACCCACTTTACAACATCTGACGACACTGGCGAGGAAATTCAGAGAGCGGAGAGGAAACCTGGGCTCGGTTGATAGGAGCGGTTTCTCTGGCACCTCTG